GGAGTTGACCGGAGGTGTTGACCGGCGTTGACCAGAGTTGACTAGGGGTTGACTGCAGCGTTGACCAAAGGCGTTGACCAAGACGGTTGACCACGAGTTTGACCAAGCTGGAGCTGGTATAATCTCGCCAAGCCTTCAGCCTATTCCCTTGCCCTATGGATGTGCACACACCCTGTGGTACTTGCTGAGTCAAGTCTGTTTGTCTCTTCTTTCTGCATCGAGTCTCTTCTGTCCAGGTGATAGGAACTCTGTGGATGAAGGATAGAGCCTTCTGACCAAACCCACACGGGCTGAGTAGGGCTAAAGACTGTGTCTGACGACTCGACTATCCCGGAGGACACAAACCCTCCCAAGGACCGGTACTGACCGGCGGGCTGCTCGGTGTGGCACGGTAGGCCCAAAATCCGAGTTGTGGGCTGCACAACAGGCCGTCTAAGTGTTGAGAAGACCTGTTGATCACGTTGTCCCGTCTCCGACGTTAAATAATTCCTGAGGAGTTACGGGGGATCTCCTTAAATGTCTACTGATCAGCAACAAGTCTTGTAGTGACAACCTTAGAATAGGTAGGTGAGTCAGGCAGGGGGAGTAGAGTCTAAGTGGTGAGGAGTGGAATGGATTGTCTGGTTGTGCACCAATCACCATGGTTGACACCCGCAGTGGAAAGAGTATTGCCCCCTCCGAGGCCGAGCAGGCCCGGATTGCCGCCCTTCTTAGAAAGAAAAAGGAGAAGAAAGAGCTCCTTAAGCAGGCGAAGTTAAAGGCCATTGAGGAGGAGCAGGCGACGAGGAAGAAGAGACTGGAGGAGGAGATGTTGAGATTTCAAAAGGAGAAGATGATGATGTTAGAGAGAGAGGAGGAGGAAAGAAGAAGGCCTGCAGAGGAGGAGGAAGAAGAAGAACAACAACCCCTTGAGAGAGGGCGGAGGGAGCAGAGAGGCGAGACAAGTGGCACGAAGGAGGAAGATAGATGGAGGGAGAATAAAATTAGTGAATGGGTGGCTAATTTATCATTAGGAGAAGATGAAGAGGCACAATTATATGTGCCGCAGGAGGAGAGGGAGGCGTTTGCCAAGGCCCTGGAGTTGATAGAGGATCCCCTGGAACGGCAGGCGACAGAAGATGAGAAGAATTTGGAGTGGAAATTGAAGATGATGAGGGAAAAGAAGAGAAGGAAACCAACAGGATAGCTAGGGAGGTTGAGCGAGTGCGAACCGGCAGGTAAGAGTTACAGGCCCAAACAGAGGTCTCTACCAAGTTAGACAAGATGATGGGCTTCTTGGAAGTCCTGAGTGAGGCCTGGCTGGAAGAGCACCATGCCCGTAAGGGTCAACAAGTGACCCTGCAGGGAATGCGATCCGGGTTCAGGGAGTTCGCGAGTGAAGTGGTGACCCACGTTGAGTAAAAAATTAGAAGAATGAGGGATGGCGTAGACAAGTTCTGCGCAAGCGCTTTTGAGACCACCAAAGTTGTGGCCACAACGAAGGCCACGACGCGTCCCCGCAAAGAGTCAGTCAAGTTGAATTTCCCTGACACATATAGCGGGAAGAAAGAGGAAAATTTCGATAAATGGGAGGCCAGCATAAACACCTATGTCTTCTTACAACATATTACACGCCTTAAAGGACGAAGCGGCTAGCTTCGCCAAGTCCCTCGCACGTGTCGCAGATTGCGAGCACAATATTATCGCATATTCTAGGCTTACCCCCCTCGCCACTTTCCTCAAACCCCTGCGAGAGAGGTTTGCTGACATCACTAAAGGCGTTAGGGCCTCTGATAAGCTACAGACCATCCATTCACGACAGTGGAGGAGTGCGAGAGCACTCAAAGCTGTTATGGACGACTTGGTAGCCATCCCGAACCACGGGGTCACTGAGACCCAGTTGGTTCAATTGTTTTATCGTGCCATGCTAGAGCCCTTACGAGGGTACTTCTTTGACACGACCCAGCAACCCAACATCACTTACGATGCGTTTAGTAGGGAGGTGGTCTTGTTTGAAGCCAAGTCCATGTCAGTTTCCACTTTCTGGCACAAGGACCTAGATAAGGGCAAAAAGTGGAAGGGTCGTTGTAGGGCCAAACCCCAGTAGACTTTCGAGCCTTAGTCGACCCCACTGCGGGTCTTAGTTGGCTCGGCCCGCCCACGCTCATGCTCAGGGCCCGGGCCGTTCGTCCCAGGGTTACCCCCACCTAGTGCTTTGAGATGGAAGGGGGTGGGCCTCGAGCGAGAGAGCTTTTGACATTGGGGATGTAGCTCAACCCTCACGCTGGGTGGTGGGTTCTTTGAGAGTTTTCTTCTCGTGCGCAGGCTAAGCGTCATCCTTAGGCCACACACCATTTCCCTAAGCATCGCGACTCTACAGCATCATTGGGCCACGGCGAAGTCGTTCTTCCCCTCGCCTCTACCCGCCCATCGATTCTCATACATCCCATTTAAACCCCATTGACGCAGACCCTTTAGTCTTTTCGGGGCCTTTACATGCATGCACGTCCAATTTCACATTTCCCTTGGCAAGGTAGCACCCCATTCTCTCATTTACACCCCAAGTCTCAAACGCAAAGGTTATTTTCATGGGTTGGCTTTATGCCAAGGGTCCCATAGCCCCTTTGCCCTTCTTCCCTTTTTCTTTTTTAATGCCCGGTTCCTCCCAGCCCTATCCCGCTCAAGGCATCCTCAACCTTAACTCACCTGCACAATCCCACACAAAGCAAAGATCCATACAGTCCCTCGTTGGGGGTGAACACATAGCCCTTCCCACATGCCTATCTGTTCCATGCTCTTTGGCTGCTCTTTGTTCCCTTTTCTTTGCTCAATTAGCCCATTCTCTTCTCATAGTCATGCAGTTGGGGAAATGGTTGGGTCAAATAAACCTCATTTTCAACTTAGGCTTTCTTCCAGATTCCGCCTCTTTCCCACTCTTTGCAAACGTCCTTTCTTTTGCCTTCTCGGCGGCACAAGGGACTGACTATCCTCCCCTTGCCCTCTTTTTCTACCAAGTGAGGTCTGATCTCTCTTTACTGTTCGTACTTTAGCATTGTAACACGTGAGGGGAGAAGGGTTAGTCATATGCCAAGTGAGGGGAAGAGAAAGAGGGGGCAAGGCGAAGGGGGAGAGAAGGAGAGAAAGAG